GAAGGAAGGAAGGAAGGAAGGAAGGAAGGAAGGAAGGAAGGAAGGAAGGAAGGAAGGAAGGAAGGAAGGAAATGTAATAGCTATACCAGCCTGCCCATAATTTAAAAAACGTTATGGCAAATGTGGGCAAACAGAATAATCTAGGTGGAAAATAAGGAAGCTTGGTGCTACCAACTGTTCTCCATTTAACCATCCAGAATTTGCAAAAAAATTTACCTCAGGTATACTCAGATCACAACATGGCATGAAGTTTAATAACAAACTGTTCCTAGCAGCTGACAGCTTAATCTTGTCTGGCTGCTGTTCAAGTTGCTGCCTTTTTATAGTAATATATTTGCTAAACCCTTTGAAAGCTGTGTTCTCAGAACAGCACATCCTGAGGCTTACATTTTGTCATCACTACTTTTGGTCCCAAGTAAACTTTGATTTAATGCTATGGGACTGGAGAAGATGGTCCTTTAAATTAGGGAAATATTTTCATTCATATTTCTAAAACCAAAGGTGAGATAAAATTGATTAATTAGCATATTATTATTTTTCATCTTTTTTTTTACAGACTAATTGGAAACCTATTTCAAGGTCACTGCTTCTGACCCTGTCAGACAACGATACCACCAGCGTTTTTGTCATAGAGCATGAGTCAAAGGCTCCTCTGACGCTAGACCTCTTCACAGATGGTGGAGAAGACAGCAAGCATGACACTTGTCAGTCAGAAAAGCCCAGCAATAACATAGACATGAGCCCAAGGCATGAAGAAATCCCTGCAGAAGCAGTTACAAGTGAAGAAGATATAATTTCCACTGAAGTACAACTCTTGAGTGACTATGCCAGCGTGGAGTTTAGTCAGAAAGCCCTGATGAGTCTGGCAGTGAGTGTACCTGAAAGAACTGCTCATCCTCGTCTGGAAATTGAACTAAGTAGTAAGCCAGCACAAACTGTGCATAAGGTTTTGTTTGCTTCCCAGGACTACCTCAAGCAAAGCCAGGTGGTACTTTTGCCATCTGGAACAAATTTCATGGGGCAAGCCAGTTAAACCTGAAGCATTTTCATTATTTTCCTTACCATAAAATCAAGTTCCAAATTTTTTTATACTTCAGTAGAGCCTCTAGGACCATACGGAGCAGTGAGCTGTTGACAATAGTTATCTCCACTACAGTAAGTTTCCTTGGTGAAACAGATTGATTATATGATTAGATTAGCTATTTCACCACCGTCATTCAGTGGAAAGTCCCACCATCTTCACACAGACAAAACTTTCAGGGACTTATATGAAAAATCCTTCAGTAAAGTACCTCTTGCTTGGTATTTTGTTCCAGGACACTCAGGAGCTATTCAAGGCTTCCACTCTAATCACAATGTCACTGTAGGTACCAGAAAAATTCTCTACTCACTATGACCAGCTTCAGATCTGATTTTCAGATCTCATAAGTTCTTCAGGGAAAAAAAAAAAAAAAAAAAAAGCCAGCAAAAGTATCTACCACTCCAAAGAAGTTTTCCAGCTTCTTTGGACCAACTTTGGTCAAACCTGGCCAAAGAAATTAGTGCAAATATTCCAAATTACGAATCCAAAGTTTGTTTATTGGTCTATGTAAAACACTATTAATACTTTACATTCTGGAACTTAACAGCTTTAGTCATTGTAGATAAATAGCACTTTGTAAATGAGGATGATAAGTTTCATTAACAGTATTGGAGTTGTTACTTGTATTAAATTAAGACTATTTACTTCTACAATTAACACATTCAGAGAAACTCATCCATGGTTTGTGATGAGGTGTAGCTGCATTTATGTTTTTACACTGAAGTGACAAAAACTGTAAAACAGACTTCAGGAGCTGAACAGATACTTCAAGTAGCCATACCTCCACAGATTGCATGGAGGAGGAACCACTGGAATACAGGGGATAAAAGGGTCTTCCTCAATACACTTTCTATGTGACTCCATCATGTATCTCCACAATGCAAGGAGTCTGAACCATTTTCTGTCTTACAGAGTTTCTCAGTCGTGAACTCTGCAGGCATCTACAGTCTGCACTTATTCTAGAAGACCTAGTGTAGAAGACCCGGTTGTTGTCTCAAGTTTAAGGAGCATTTTTTTTAAATTGCTTTGTGGAGAAAGAAACTGATCAACTGTATCATAAGCACCAGAGAAACCAAAGTCTGGCAGTGAGCATGCCAGAGCATCCATTTAAGAAAATTCTCTCATTAAAAGTAGAGGATGATTGACATCCACACAAATATTTCCATGCATACTAGGCAGTATGAATTATAAATAGCTATGCTTGCAAAAACTCAGAGAAATTCCATATCCCCACTTCATTGATTTAGTGAGAATCCATAAAAAACCTAGTTTATTTATTTTCCTTATTTATATTCACTCTCTCTAACTACATCTCTCTAAATCTCTTAAGACTGCCAGGAACAAACCTGTATTTCACTGTGGGTTATGTACTGCTTTATTTCTCAGCTCCTGAAATTCATTGTTCTCCCACAAAGCAATGTGAACTCGTAGTTGTTATGTCTTGTACTTGAAACAAAGGGTAAGGGATCCCTAGAGACCACACATGTTTGGACAGTCTTTTAAATATCTTTTTTTTCTTTTTTTTAAAACTTTAAAATCTGGTGACTTTACCTGATTTGAATTTAAGATGATGCAAATGATCCTGCTGTTAGTGGAGCTATTTTTACTTGTAATATCTAGTAGTGATGTAAAAATGCTGTTACAGAAAATTAAGTCCTGATATGTAATCTTTATCAAGTAGTCATAATTTGTCCATTTCCAGAATCTATAAGAATTATCCATGCTTCTTACTTACAGTATTTCTTTTCTTTCTGGTAAAGGAAACTTATTTTCCTGGTGCAGTTTGTACCTTCAATAGCTTTACTCATCCCTGTAAACACTGAATTCTTCTTCTCTTACTCTGCACCTACTAAACCAATATGTATTATTCCATTATGGATAAAGTATATATAAAGTAAGTAAGCAGAATGAAACCAAAGGCTTGCAAGCATTTTCAGTATATGAAACAGCCTTGATATAGGAAACTCAACAAGACAGCTTGGGCTTTTTACCTGGTGATTATCAACTCCACTGTACTAGCCACTGTCTGACGTCTTGCTAAAGAAAATTCATACAACAGAACAGGAGAATTGTACTAGAAGCACCCATGGATATTAAATAGAAATACAGAAATAGAAAAATATATAAATCAGTTATGAAGCTCACAATAGATGTAATTCTTGAATGATCTCATTAGAGCAATATTTGCACAATGGCTGTAAATGGTACATTTGGAAGAATAAGAGATGCATGAAAAATCCTGGTGTGGAGATTAATTAAATTAAGAACTCATCCCATCATGATGTATCCTTTGAGAGCAAAGAAATAATCTTTTATGTGGAGAGCAATAGAAGAGTACATTTGCGAAATAGTTTCATCCAGCCAAAAAGGAGGTTTAGTTGGAATAATGTACTGACTCAGAGACACAGGATTAGTAGACATACCATGCTCAGGTGTTCAGGTTAGGGAAAAATAGATTTCTGTGGTTTGTTTATTTGGTTGGCTCTTCTGTGGAGATTTTTAGTTCGGTTAGAAGGGTCCTACAACAATCATCTAACTGTATTCCCTGATCTCTTCAGGCAGTTAAAAAAAATGCGTGGATATACTGGTGTATAATGACCCCAGAAGCTGTCCTGTACAAATAAACATGTAAAATAGTTCATTCCCTGTGCTATAATACTGTTCAAGTGGCTTGTGTAGTGTTCTCAGCTTCAATATTCTTAGCTTCAATATATGTTATGTAAAGTGAAATTGCAGATATGAAGGCTCAGGACCACAAAAGACAAAGTATTTTATAATTACATTTTTGCACTTTTTTCACAGTCAGCATAGCTCTGGATGATCACTGTCTGCATTAGTGAGAATTTAGACATGGTAAAAGCTTAGACAAATGTAAACCTGGAGGCACATCAGCATTGTGATTTATAGCATGGAATATTATAATGCAAGGTTACAGTACTTTAGCATTCTATATTTACAGAGAAAGGAATACTCAGTCTCTAATATAGCACAAAGCTAGGTTAGTATGCATGTATTTTTCTGGTATCCAGAATAGATGTTTTTTCTTGCATGGACATGAAGATTTTTAAATTTTTTAAAAATTATTTTTATTATATTTTTTATTTAGTGCTTAAAGTCAGACTACAGTGCAGTAGTTAGCTCTGAAAATTGACACTGTGTTAGAGAAAAAACAAACAAGTATGCATCCTGGAACAGGAGATTGAAGCAACCACAACATTGTAGAGGTTTATTCTGTATTAGATAACAAATGAATAATAATATCTACGAAATACCTATAAATTTTCCCAGATTTGAAGCTTTTGAGGTACTGTGAAAACCCTTAAAAGCCACTTTCATGGCACAAATGGCACCTCTGCAGTCGAGCAGAGATGTCTGAAAAGCAGAGAACACAGGGGCATCCTGTGAACCCAAGTGAACCACAGTTACTGCTAGTTGTCAAATAATGAAATCATTAAAGGCCTCTAGTTAAGAAGATACTCTTGACTGTGTCACAGATTTTTGGTTTGCCTCTTTCTCTCTCTCAATGGCACTGGACGTCTGCTGCCTCAATGATGTTAAACATGTTCTGTTACAATGTTGGCTGAATTTGTATGAACTGTGTAATAAAACTTATGACAGCTTACATCACTCACTTCTGAGCACTGCTTATAGAAGATTGCTAAGACAAATCACTCCATGCCAGTGGTGTTGGGATGGGAATAATCTTATCCTCATAACTAGTTAAATTCTACAGCAGAAGCACCAGTTTGATAATAAAACTGAAAACAACCTGCCATGATAGAAATGGTCATTCCCATTACCTATCCTCAGAGATCCCTCCAATGCTTCATAGAATCACAGGATCACTGAGCTCGAAAAGACCTTTTGGATTGAGTCCAGCTGCAAACCTAATACTGCCCAGCCCACCACTAAACCATGTCCTTAAGCATTTCCTGGGATGGTAATTTAACCAGTTCCCTGGGTAGTGTGTTCCAAGGCTTGACAACTCTTCCTGTGACAAAACATTCCCAAATATTCAGTCGAAACCTCCCCTGGTGCAACTTGGGCCATATCCTCTCATCCTGACACTTCTTACCTGTGAGAATATACTGACCCTCATCTCACTGCAGCATCCTCTCAGGCAGCTGTAGAGTGAAAAATCCCTTTCCTGAGCCTCCTTCTCTCCAGGCTAAACATCCCCATATCCCTCAGCCACCTCTTGTAAGACCTATGCTGTAACTTCCTTCCACAAAGCCTTCCCCAGGCAAACCGATGGGCTTATTACTTTACAGAAATGAACCCACAAAGGAAGTAATTGGATTTGTTGAAGTGGTAGACATAGGACAAAGAAACAAGGACAAAGAAAAGTCCTGAAGAATGATGTCAAAGCTACAACCAGCACTGACAGGGAAACAGATTAAATTGATCCTTACTGGAAACATTGGAGCCTAGGCAAGCTGGAGAGTAGTAGATAAGCTATTTTACCTGAACAATTACAGTCTACAGCCAGTTTTTCATAGATTGCTGGCACAGAAATGGATAACAGAACAATAAAGCTCTTACAAGTATTCTCTGGCCCTTCCCAAACAGTAATTTGGGGCTGGGCCCAGAGGGTAATGGTGAAAGGTGCTGCATCCAGCTGGGGATAATCACTGGTGGTGTTCCTCAGGGGTCTGTGCTGGGGCCACTCCTGTTTAGGATCTGCACTGATGATCTGGATGAGGGGGATCAAGTCTACCACAGCAATTTAGCAGCTGACACCAAGCTGGGTGTGAGTGTTGATCTGCTGGAGGGTAGGAGGGCTCTGTAGAGGTACCAGGACAGGCTGGATAGATGGGCTGAGTCCATGAGCATGAGGTTTAACAAGACCAAGTGCCAGGTCCTGCACCTTGGCCCCAGAAATCCCCTGCAGTGCCACAGGCTGGGGACAGCGTGGCTGGGCAGCAGCCAGGCTGAAAGAGACCTGGGGGTGCTGGTGACAGTGACTGACCATGAGCCAGGGTGTGCCCAGGTGGCCAAGAAGGCCAATGGCATCCTGGGCTGGATCAGCAATAGTGTGGCCAGCAGGAGCAGGGCAGGGATTGTCCCCCTGTGCTGGGCACTGCTGAGGCCACACCTCGAGTGCTGTGTCCAGTTCTGGGCCCTCCCTGCAAGAAAGACCCTGAGGGGCTGGAGTGAGTGCAGAGAAGGGAACGGAGCTGGGGCAGGGTCTGGAGCACCAGTGCTGTGAGGAGCAGCTGAGGGAGCTGGGGGTGTTTATCCCAGAGAAAAGGAGGCTCAGGGGAGACATTATCACTCCCTACACCTGCCTGGAAGGAGGCTCCACCCGGGTGGGGGTTGGTCTCTTCTCCCAGACAGCCACTGATAGAATGAGAGGACACAGCCTCAAGCTGTGCCAGAGGAAGTTTAGGTTAGACACTAGAAAAAAAACCTCTTCACAGAAAGAGTGATTGGGCCTTGGAATGGGCTGCCAAGGGAGGTGGCGGAGTCACTGTCCCTGGAGGTGTTTAAAAAAGGCTGGATGTGGCACTCAGCTGTAATTGCCCATGCCCACACAACATACACAGATGAGCTAATTATCTAGGCAAAGACTGTATTGTAGTTTTTCAACACAACACAGGTCAGAACCTCACAGTTTAAAAAGAAATAGCATTTAGTGACACTGAAGTTCTAACTAGTTATGCTGGGTCATATGAATGTTCTTCCAATGCTGTAAAGCATTTATGAAAAAGTTAAGATAAAATTTACATTAAATGCACTGGCTCAATGAAAATTAGCATTACTATTAAGGATCCCACTATGAAAAATAAATATTTCTACTAATACCTAAATTAGAAATACAAATATTTCCACAAATAACTAGCAGATTTTGTGGGTATTGAGAAAATCCCTAGTTCAAAAACCAGTTAAAATAGTCCAGTAGCATGTGATTCTATTCACTTTTTTCAATGTTCATTCAACTGTCAGAGGACCCTCTGGATTTCACAAAAATAAGTAAGAAAAGCAAAGTTAGTATACTTGATAGTGGTAATATACTTGAATTCACCATATATAGACTGCATCTCCATTGGAATGCTTGAGGAGTCTGCAGTTCCAAAAAGGGTTGTGTGTGCACTCATAAATCCATTATACAGTTGCTTTGAAGCCATTTGCTCTAAGAATCCCTAGTTTCAAAACCATACCCTGACATTTTTCAAGCATCAAGGTTTCTCCACTGTTTCCATATTTGTCTACTTACAGCTGCAGGGTTGCAGTGAACTTTGT